GTTTTTTAGTAGTTGATTGTCAGAGAAACTGAATGATCTAATGGTTTACAAAGGAATATCAGACAGGGATAATTAAGAGGACCTCCCAGAATCTATTGATAATTGTCTGCAGATGCTGCTCCCGAAACTTGTTGATAACATCTTACATATTAAAAAGAAAATAGACACAAATCTGTAATTTCTAATCACACTATTAAAATCGTATTGGAATGATATTTGTATGTTAAGCTTAGTTGGAAGCTCCAAGATAAATAACCACCGGCTGGAATTGAACCCTGAAGAGCCAGTAGAACTAACTTCTGCAGCTGAAGTTTTAAGTAAATGCACATAACTTACAATAAGTGTGTTACAAGGGATGCTATCTTTTTAGCAAAACAGGAAACCTTCTTGAAAAAAAAGTGATGGAAGCTTTATTTATGTTTTAATTATTCTCTGCTTTTATGTTTGCCTTTTCTCTGCTTTTTGGGGGGAATTGTGAATTTTATTTTGTCTCAACATTTTTGATATTTGTTATAAAACATCTACATTTTTTTATTTGTGCAGTGTCAAAATGTAATATTCGGATTATATTTTTTTGTAAAAATTCAAGATTGTTTTAGATATATTGTGCAATTCAATGAAAAAAAAATATTTCTAAAAAAAGAAGCTGGGGTTGTACCAATAAAATGCTTACAATGCTTTGCAATATATGTCCACTCTGATTTTCTCCTCATACACCATTTCTCACCACAGAAGCCTCATTGCATACCCTACTTTTAGGGTCTTAACTTTAAGAGACATAATCATCCAGGTAATGTTGACTTTCAGGCCTTTACTTAAGAATGATCAAGAAAGAGTGTTATTTGAACATGGGAAATAGATGCTATAATTTAGCAAAAGCAGAGTAAAATAAATCAAAATGTCAAAAGCAGGGAGATGGTGTGGGAGGATGATTTGACCAATAAAAGCTGTGCTGAGTTGACTCACACTGTTAAAGCTCAAAAGCCTTAAACCACTGTCAGAAAAATAAGCATCATCAAATGAGATCATTGATTCAAGTGTCCTGCTTTCTTAGCTGTGCCTAAGACTATTTTAAATTAAGAACATTCAAATCCAGAATGAAGAACTTTTAATTTGCATTTTCTCCCAAAAATGTGCTAATTTGTAAGAAAACCACAGTCATACACCAGGTTATACTGACTTTGTGTGAAATTCTTTCTGCATTTCTTGATCTTGTACTAGCTAAATACCTCATTAAAGTGTCCTTAACCCATACAATATTTACATATTACAAAGAATTATTGAATCCTTTCATGAACCTCTGAATAACTTTCTGTCCTGCTATAACTTTCCCAGTCAGCTATAACAACTACTGAAATAACCACATCAGGTCAGAATGCGGTGAGAAATTGTAAAGTAAATAGAAAGTCAGGAAAGTTCTAGCCCCGAAAGCATGAGAACGCAGTGATTCAAGGATGAATATTGAATCCTGGAGTCCAGTGGTGCACAAGAAGTCGGTGCACAATGCATGCATTAATGAAGATCTTTCAGAGATGCCCACATTAAACTATCCCTCTTTGCAATATTTATTTAACAAGGAGTCCCCAGAAAGCTGTTAGAATGGGTAATGTGGTTAAATTTAGGCTCAGGCTTGGCATGAACATGTAGTTAGCACACAGTTCGTTAATTTTAATGCATTTAACCTAAAAAAAACAACAACTATATTTGGCTCTATTTTGCATGTTTGAACTTTATCTAAAGTTGTTAAACGCAGCTGATTATTTGTCCAAAAATGGGATTTATTAGTTATCACCAGTATGTGTCTAAATAATTATATTTAATTTACATACATTAACCCTATAGTCTGGGGCTTTTAAACATTTTTACTACATTACTACACTTTATTGTAATAAATTATCTTTAAATAGTCAAAGTTTTATATCATTTTTTAGTTCAAGCCTAGCCTTTTTTTTTCATTATACAATAATTTCATTACACAAAATCAAACCTGAAATTGTACAAAAAACACAATTCAGGATGTAAAATTTTACTTTTTTTGCTGCAAAAATCTAAAAAATTGACAACAAACTCATGTGTTGTCACAAAAATCAAAGGTGTTAAGACAAAAAAATTCACAAATCCCTCCTAAAAGCAAAGGCAAGAAGAAAACAATGTGAAAAAAACAGGCAAGCCTTTCCTTAATTGTAAACACTGTTCCAAGCACTTTTTGTGTCATTGTGCTTTTTTTGTACCAGAGCTTTTAAAACACAAGCCATATCACAGGTCTTGTAGTTCCCAGAGTTATCCCTTCTTTTGACCAGTAGATATGACTGATGGCACACAATTAGGGATCTGTAAAATGTTGAGCATTTTCTCACATTTTATTTAGAATTACCTTGCAAATGGTGTGTCATAACTCTTGTAATGTTCATTTAAAACCAAAATTATAAAAATGAATAAACTTTTTTTTATCTACAACGAACCTATTTTGAAAATAATCACATTTTCAAATGAAAATTAAACAATAGGTGGGTTGTTTGACGGTTATTGTGTAAAGTAAGATGGCTTGCAGAACGTAAATAACAAGTGCTCTGGATCTTAAAGCCAACATATTCATCTGCATTTCCTCCATTGATCCCTTGAGTCTAGTACCAAAATAAAACCTATTTTAAAATTGAAAATTTGACAGCTAATAGAAAATATTTCACAAATCTTTAAGAATATCTTTTGAGCGGAGTGGTTTTGTCTTAGATTTCTGAATTCCAACTCCAACCACCATACACCTGCTATCTGGAGTGACACAACCAGTGTGATCAATCAGCTTTTAGCTTCATCTTCGAAACTAGCACGGCTTATTACAGCGTACATTGGTGGAGCTTCAAATCAAGAGAGGAGGGGACATCTGCTGGGCATGAGCTACTGGGACATCCATTGGAGAAGATCTACACAAACGTCCTGTTAGAAGAGAGGGAAGTATCCACCTCAACCTTCGATGAGGAAACACTTATTAGCAAGACTTAGATTTATAGACACTAATGGGCAGTTCATAAACGTATCTACCTCTGTACCTATTCTATCCCTTAAAGATAGTACGGCAATAGAAAAAATAATTAGAATCTTATGGTCTGAGATAAAACAGGAAATTACATCACAACAGGGAGTTGCTTGAGGGAGGCAGTAGAGGATTTTCTCTTTGTCTCTCAAGACCATGACCGACAAACAGCAGCACTCTCAGGGTCTTCCCCTCCCTCAACCTTCTTTTGTGCAGCATTGTTTGTTTGCTTTAGTATCTTCAGTGTTTAATCTAAATAAAGCAGCATTTTCGGTTACACCTCTTAAACCTTGCTTCCAGAGTCTTCAATAATGGGTTATGATAAACAATTTCAATAACAGTACTCTCTTTGTGAAGAGAAATTGCGGAAGTAGAAGTGTGAATGTGCTGTTAAAATGCTTGAGAAATATTTGAAATTGCAAAGTTTTACAAAAAAAGTGCAAAGGGCATCAAATCCATTTGCACTAAAGGAACTTTTTCAGATGTTACAAACAGTTCTATATAGCTCCTTCAGCTGCTGGATCCACGCTCTGTGGGGGAGCGCTTTCTTGGAATACAGTGCAATATTTTCTTCTTTTTAGGTCTTATTTATACGGTGTGAATTTTACCTTTCACCATAATGGATCATAATGTGCAATAACAATCGAGTACTGAAGTCGATCTATGCTGTTCAATACTTTAATCAAGTATTTATCAATCCTTCTTTTTGATATTTTTTCTCTTCTTGGTGTGCTTTTTGTCTTACCTGCTGTAACACTGGGAATTTCTCCTGTGGGGCACTAAGGATTATGAAATGAATGAATGAAAAATACGGCCTGTTATCCGTTGCTTTCAGTACTCATGTGCATTTAGACTTGACCCCCGGTTAGCTCAATGAATCACATCCTCCTTTACCCTTCACTTAACCTGCGGGAAGTTTCTGGTGAAAAGAAAACGGAATGTTTTATACTGGGTCAGATGTAACAGTGCAAACATAATTTTGAACTATCAATTGAAACCTCCACAAAAGTGCTCTTGACAGTGCGAGACAAGTAAAAGCACTAAGAATAGAAGTATATTTAAAAATCATGAGCACGGTATGCAGTGGATTTCAAGGTTAATAATTGAACATGTTTTTCACATTTTATCTGTTGTTTGTTTAGATAGAGGTATCATAAAACATTTAGTTATTACTTTTTTAAGCTTTCGTCATATCTGTCGAAATTTTCAAACTTTTTTTGAATTTCCTAAAAAAGGTAATTATTCATGCAAATGCTTTTAGTCGTTAAGCCTCATTTTTGTGAGTGTTTCTGTTAACATTGCATGTTTCTGTGTAATGGAAAAATTAGAAACCTCAATATTTATCTGTCCCCCACCAAGTTCACTGACCACTGCTAAAAACTGTTTTTTTAAGCATTCAATTGACTTTGAAAAGTACATTTTCAAAGCAGAATTGGCCAAATAACCTCATGATTTAGTGGAGAAGAGACCTGGGTCAACTAAATTGTCCAGAGATATCAGACTTTGATTAATAACATTAGCATTAAATGGCTTGCCACATTTGTGGAACGTTGCAAATTATATATGTTCAATAATAGTGATATATGTTAAAAGACATAGATTAATAATTTGGCATATTAAATTATACATATTAACTGTAGATTAATCAGAAATAATAAATTGCACCTAAATATAGCCAACATTGTCAGAATTTAGGTATTTTTGCTTGGAATTCTTTGGACTTGGAACACATATGTAACGGGGAATAAAGGTTGATAAATGAAAGTTTATCATCTGCTGTGTGATGCTTAATTATTGTAATGCTTCAAAATGTTGTGATGTGAAATTAATACTACGTAATTTGCCTTTACAGGTAGGCTGCCATTTTTGTCTAAAAGTACATTTACATTTACATTTATGCATTTGGCAGACGCTTTTATCCAAAGCGGCTTACATTTGAATGAACATATTTTTTTTTTCTGTCAGTTCTTGCTTTCACTGTGATATGAACCCACAACCTTTGCGTGGTTAGCACAATGCTCTACCAACTGAGCCACAGGAAAGCCTAGGAGTAACAGAAAGTAGGAGTAACCATGCTCTTGTGATGGCTTTATAATCTCTTAAGTCGGTTTTGGCACATTAATTAAACTAGCTATAAAATACATTAGACTTCCTTATTTATGAAAATGTTTTGATTTTTGGCGTGTGTCTATTTTTGTCAGTACACCCTTAGATTAAAAAAATGGTAAAATTATCAAACTGAGTGATTAAAACTCACATGTCTGGACCTGCGATCTTTTTCTGTTTTGTTTTTGAATCTGCATCTAATATTTGCTTTATAATTGTATCATTATAACTATATAATTCAATCAGAGCATTTTATAATTAGAAACGAAATGGAGGTTCCTGACAAAGTAAAAAAGCATTGATGTAATACACAAATTTATGTGATTATTATATGAATTTAAATTTGAAACTGGTTTGTGCCGACCCCAACATGAGACAAAAGGTTAATTCTGGTAAAGAAGAAAAAAAAGAGTATTGCAGTGCTTACATTAGTCGAAATTCTAAGAACAACAAATATGTTTATTCATAAATTAGTAGCATACACTTCCCACTGTGCCACCGTGCCCCGTCCTATCTGCTTACAACAGTTGATAAAAACTCAAACAGGGTTCTTGAATGATATGGGTTGTACCTCCCTTTAGGAATCAATCAAACTCAGTATATTGATGTGAAATGAACAATTAATTGCCAGTGTCTGAAATATCCTCAGCAGTAATGACTGTCTCTGCAACTGAGATCATTCAGACAGCCCCCATGTCACGAATAATCAGCATGTCTGATGCACAGCCAACTTTCCAAAGGCACTAATTGACACATAAATCAATCAACATAATTAATGTTCTTTGGCTTGAGCGTGTGCCCTGATTTTCATTCTCTTAGTGATTTGTTTTTCAATAAGAGTTCATGCCTTGGTTCTGCTCTAGCTAGTTTCAACTCAATGAGACTTATTGGTTAGCATCATTGACTCTTGGTGATCCATTTTGAATCTTGGCCATTCTCGCCAATCGTAATGTAAAGCTAATAGAGCTAAAAGATGGTAAAAGGTTTTGTTTTTTAAAAAAAAAACTAGAGGTGGTCAGTTCTGTTGGACTTTTGAGGGTCCAATGCGTGTTCAAAATTATTTAGGAGACGATCTGCAAACATACTGAAGTTTTATTTGAGTTCTTTGAAGAGAAACCAAGAGCACAGATACAGCGCGCGCCGGAGAAGTCTGATCTTCTGACTTAAGGATCCAGAGCGACTGTTTTATACATTTTCTGAAAACAGGGAATTTCCAAAGAACAAGAGAATTTCTGTCTCAAACCCATGATACCAAAATCATATGACACCATGTGGCAGGATATCCCATGACTACAGCAAATGACACAAAAATCACATGGCCTCCCACGAGGCTTGCTCAGGCAATCTCTTTCACAAAAGCATATTACTGAATAATACCACAACGAAAGCAGTGGTACTTAAACATGATCCGCAGACATTTACTGCTTTTTCAGCAGCACTTGATAAAGAGAGAGACCATTAACTCCGAATTCATTTATTCATTTGCCAACCCGCTTTCATCTCATTTGTGGTCAAGGGGGGGGTATGCCGGTGCCTATCTCCAGTGCACATTGCACGAGCGACAGGGGCTCACCCTGAACAGGTCGCCAGTCTATTGCAGTAACTCTGAATTTACTTGAGCAAATAAATTAACTAAAAGGCCACCACGGTTTTTTGTAGCCTTAACAATGCAGAGTATACGTCACCCAGTGCTTGGTTGCAATGTAAAAAAATATCCACTTTTTTCATTTTTGAGGTAAAAATTTGCAAAGACGCTTTTGTGTTCTTATTCTCAGCTGTTTGGGTTGGTGAAGGAGAGGACTAAAGACTTTTGAGTTCCATTTTATGGATCGATTGACGGGTTTCAATTGTTTGAGTTCAAGAGTTCATCTAAAGTCACATTATTAAATCTCTTCAAATTCACATTGTATTGATTCCCCCCTGGTCAATTAACACAGTCCTTAAATAGTTTGGTCAAAAATATTCTCTAGGGTTTATCCTAACATTCTGTTGTCTGTCTTTGCTTAGCTGTATTCTGCATCAAGGTTAAAGAGAAGGCTGCAGTGCATAAGTAATACCAAGCATTTATACATCTGTCTCTGTAGCTCTGCAATTCTTCTTTTCTTTGTTTACTTCCACTGCATTGACCTCTTCGTTCATGTTTTGTTTGTCATAGAATTATACTTACCCTTTACAGTATAAATCTGTCAACTTTACTACAGTTGACATGAATTATAAGCCACCTTTAGCAAGTACTGGTCTCTTCTATTCCTTTTCCTTCACCACAACTAGAAACTGGATTTTGGCAGATCATGCTCTGCTGATTGATGTGTGCATACAGAGTATAATAAATATATATTCATATATTTCACAGGATTGTTCTGAAAGTAGGAATCATATGACCATCTATTTTTCCTTTTTGATTTCAAATAAAATGTGTATGTTTCAACAAGGTTATTAGCTTCGATATTTTTGGTTTTAAACAAACATCATTTGGAAAGGGATTCAAATTTAAATGTGAGAAAATGTGTTTAACAGACCACAGATTGGTTTAGGTGAGATTCAATTTTCACATTGTTTTGACCTTGTTTTTGATTTCTTGTAGGGAATAATTAACTTTTTTATCTCAACACTTTTCATTTCTGTTAAAACATTTTGTTCACAATTTTTAAGCAAAAAAAAATTAATGTGTAATGTAATGACAAAAATATTTGTAGAACAAAAAAATTTGATGTACCAAACATGAAATGAAGCATTGCCACAAATTTTTAAGTAGTAAAAATTGCACATAAAGACTTCTAAGGGTTAAGGTTTGTAGACTGAAGCAATGACCCTGTTACACGCCTTTTCAAACCTTCAAACCTCTTGTTCTGGTAAAATTAACTTTCTTTTTATTTTAAAACTTAGAAAAAATCAAAAATATAAAAAAAAAAAAATCAAAAGTAATGTGCATCTGGTTTTCAACATTTTCCGCAATCTTTATTTTATGTTAAATGGAGAGAGATGTGAAAAGTAATCTCCCTCAAACTGCCTCATAAATCTTTAAAGTCCATGTTTTGAATGTAAACAGAGAACAAGGAACTAGCAAGGTCAAGATTGTCTGTATCATTTGGTTCCTGAAACAACTCAACTTGACCTAGCTTTGAAGACAGCAGCAAAAGTTTCCTACTAGAATCTTGTGGAGGAAGCTCACTATTTGCATTGCAAATCTTAGTCGTTTGGTTTGACGCCTGTTCACCCATTGAGTCCCAACAACTCCATTAGTTTGGAACAGACACCCCTTTAAGACCCAAAATAGAAGACTGCCCTCCTTAATGGAGTGTCTGTGGCCCAGTTCTGTCCCCTTCAAAGTGACCGCGCCAGTCCACTTAACACCGACCAGTATTTCAGATGATGTGGAAACTTTCCAGCTCCACGTGCTCATATCATTAAAAAAATTAATTTCATGAATTGATTAAATTTTGACTCTAATGTACTCGGTTGTGTTCTAGACTATTGCAAATGTAGCAATTTTTGCCAGAGTAGTATCATTATTGTAATATGTGTACTTTTTGCACCTCAAAGTTGTGCTAGACAACATTTTCTGTTCACATAACTGCACACATTTCATGCATATTATGCATGAGCAAGGTCCAGTAAACTCACAGTATATTCGTTTTTTACATTTCGCATACAAGGGACTCTTCATTACAGTCCAATGGTCTGTCACTGCTTTTAGGAACATGTTTCTAGGAATTTGCTTTGGCATTGAGGAAACAAAATATAAAAGAAGGAAATTCGGAGAATGATTGAGTGGATTGTTCAGGACCAAAAAATCTGTAATATTTTTTTTTTTCTCAAATAAAGTGAACAAATGTGAAAATAGGAAATGCTTCAAACGTGATTTTCTGTGAAATAAATGTTTAGAGTGCTGTAGTGATGGAGACACTTGTGATTTAGAAAGAAAAGAGATGTTCAAGCAAAGAAAGACAGACATGGATGGAATGTGAAATCCACCCACTGCATGTGAAACGGCAACGGCTGAGTTTTGAGTGATTGCATAACAGAGGAAATAATAAGATTATTACGGGTCAGTGAAGCGAGTCCATGCTGAAGACCTTCAGGCCTAAGGAAAGTGATAGAATTTGAGAGCCCTTGTGGAGACACCTCAGAAGTTGCTTGAAGTGCTGAACAAACACAATGATTTGGTTCGAATTTATGAACTGTTACTTATTTTCCCGAAGCTTAAGTCACAATATTATTGAAAGCATGTGTTAATGTCAAGACCACGCTCACACCATAGACTGAAAAAAATGTGGATGACACATGACAACTTCATGCCATTGGGCAATCTAAAACAGAAATGTACAGGATTGGGGCAGTGACATGACAGGCAGAATGAGGCTGCACATGTTCAGAGACAATACAGAGCCACTGTAACAGAAATCCATCTTGCAAGTCTACTTCCTCCAGGTAGTGTTATAATAGAGCTGCCAATCGTGTGGTTCTGCCTAGATGAGTAGGATCAAGTCATCGAACCAAATGTATAACAATTCTAAAGCAAAACAAGCACTATTCATCTTAAAGGCAGATGCCAGATTCCAGAAAAGTTAGATTATTTAGAGTAGTCTATAACAAGGTGAGGTTGCATTCTCAACAGTAACGGAAAAAAATGAATATTACAAATTGAGCTTTTGCAGTCAAATGTATAGTGCTTACACTGGATCTCTGGGGCAGTCGAGTGAAATAGAACTTTAAAAGAGAACTCTTCAAATGAGGAGGTCATAGAAATTTGTGAATAGTACACTGTAAACCATAAAAGGCTACAGTGCTCTTGTGTAAAGTGGTTCACCAACCTAGCTTTTTAATGAACATACTAAAGTTTCTCATTGTGTTGAGCTTAGGTTTGGTCAACTCAAATGATTTGAGGCAAAACTTTTGGGGTTAACAGTTTAGATAAATGTTGATTATTTAGATTAG